TCAAATCCCGAAACACAGCATCAACAAATTTTCAAGGTCCAAGAAAGTTCTCATCAAAAGTTTACCTATCACAATGCACCGAATATTAAACCCTCGAGGATCTCTGGATCGAATATCGAGTCAATATTGAAGCATGCAGTAACTAACGCAGAAGTCTCAGCTGTACTCAAGTTGCGAAGGCAATCGTTGGGATTCGATTTACTCTCTCTGCATTTTCGGGGATTCCCCGTATGGGGAATGGTTTATAGTGATTGGTTCAAAACATTGACGTAGTCAAGTTCATCGGGCAATCATCAGGCGCTATTTGCGCGGGAAACCTGTGTTACCGACTAATCTTCATTCTGATTGGTTTTCTACCCGTCGATCAAGTCAAGAATTCAGAGAATTCAGAGAATTTAGAGAATTGAGAAAATTCCTGCTGGTCTGCGACGTGAGCCTTTTTTCCAGGGTTTACATCATCGTTAGCCTCCTATGCAGAGATCGCCTAAGAGCGACGGTCTGCGTGGAAGGCTACATCATCGTCAGATTTCTGTGACAAGTAAAGTAAATTTTTATATAACTTTTCATTTGGACAGGTATATAATTGTACATTGAAGAATGCTTACTGTTGAGGCTGTTTCATTTTTTTTAACTTGTGCGAAGTTCGTAGGACGGAGGACTATTGGGGTTAGGATATATTGAGAAAGCTACTTTTGTTTGTTTTATTTTTGAAAACTTAATTTTACATATTTTTCTCATAATTATTATAATTATTTGATGTTCCAGGATCTTCCAGAATGTTCCAGAATGTTCCCGGAATGTTCTGGGATGTAATAAAGATTAAAGTTTAAATATTAAATCAGTGAAAAACATCTTGATGAAGTGATATGCTTGGGAGCCTTGACATTCTTTAGAATTAGTCACATGACAATGGGCAACATGGGCGTGGCCTGATGACGTCAGAGAATGGTGGACAACAGGACAAGTTTATCACTTAGTAAATTAACATTTACTTCCAGAGGAACTGTTTTGGTGTTAAAAACATTTGCGTTCCCAACAGATGGACAACATGCACTTAGACTTTGATTTTGGAGAACAAAATTAATTTTGGAGCATCCTTTTAAAAGATTTTTAAGATATTGTTATCATTAATAATTATTATTATTCTATCCAAGTCACTATTTTTCATGAACATGATTCATGTCATTCACCTATTTATTATTATGCAGCAGTGTAGTTATTAACCTTATTGCTGACTTCGCACTTTCCATTCGGAATCGCTCATTGAACAAAAAACCAGAGTATTTTTGAATAGCACCCACAATCAACAAATCACATTTTTTTTATAACTTACCGGTAAGTCTTACATTTTTATTCATAAAATGTAGATGTGAATAACTTTATTACCCTAAACTTGCTATTTAAAACCTACTATTTGTAAAAATGTGGTCTAAAAGAGAACACAAACAACATTTATGTGAAATAACATAGTAAACAAAACAAATACCAGGCATCCAAACAAAACTTAAAGTGGTACTATGATGAAAATCCCATCTTTCCTATCGCAGTCATTTTAAAATATAAGCAAGTAGCCTGTGTGAGAAGAAAAATGCTGTTTACTATATTCAAATATCTCTTTTCTGTCCAAAGATATTCAAGTTTTTAAAATATGCAAATTAGCCCAGTGATGATGTCATACACTCAACCAAATTTTGATCAAATATGATGAAAAAAGATATCTCNATTGCTGACTTCGCACTTTCCATTCGGAATCGCTCATTGAACAAAAAACCAGAGTATTTTTGAATAGCACCCACAATCAACAAATCACATTTTTTTTATAACTTACCGGTAAGTCTTACATTTTTATTCATAAAATGTAGATGTGAATAACTTTATTACCCTAAACTTGCTATTTAAAACTTACTATTTGTAAAAATGTGATCTAAAAGAGAACACAAACAACATTTATGTGAAATAACATAGCAAACAAAACAAATACCAGGCATCCACACAAAACTTAAAGCTTTCAGTCTATATAGCATTCTTTCTGTTGTCAAACCCCAAAACTGTCATATAAAGATTTAAACTTTTAACACTTAAACATAAAAATACTAAGTATGCCTGCATACTTTAAATAAACCAACATTAGCTAATATTGCTGTTTTCTTAGCCTAAATGAGGAGTTCTATACAAGGTTATTATCAATCATGAGGCTGCACAAGGACTTTTTAAACAAAACATCCCTTACAACAATCGGCAAACGTGAAAACTATTAAGAACGGTTTTCTTTCGTAAAAAAATAGCACGTGTAGTCTAAAGCCCTGGGCAAACAATCGCAACATCTGAACATAACATATGACAAAATTGTTGGGCACAACATGTTGGACCTGTTTGGCCACCCTGTTGTGGCGTGTTGCAACATGTTGGGTGTATGTGACATGTCGGGTGTTGTTGGCTCAAGTTTGAAACAGGTTGGCCAAACACACGCAACATGTTTGCGTCCAACAATGTTGCCATGTGTTCCGTTGAAAAGTCTTTTTTAAATTTATTTATCCTGTATATACTACATCACAATTAACGAATACTTACGTTACAAAACCTACAATTTACAACACAATACTAAAATCGACTGATACTTTGCTTAATTCTGAGTTTACAACTGTCACTTACAAAATGTTATTTTACATTACCTCCTTACAGTACTCTACTTACTACATGCGACATTACTTACTTACAAAACTTGCATAAAACTACTGAATTGCTTACAATATGCTATATTACTTACGTATATCACCTATAATACATTACATTACCTCACCTACAATACATTATGTTACATTACTTCCTTACAATACATTATATTTCTTACTTACACATTGAAATGTTGTGATTGTTTGGCCAGGACTTAAATCACTATACATATTCAAATTCTAGAACCTAATAATGCTGATGTAAATCAAATACAACCTTTTTCCTATTCTTGTCCATTCTTAGTGCCTGGACCTAGAAGATGTTCCAAGATTCATTTGGATTTCCAAAGATTTTCCAAATTTGCATGCCATAACAGGGACTGCAGAGACCATTTTGAAGTGGTAGGGCTAAAACTCTGGCCAACACAAACAAGGTCATTGTTCGGCCATTTAAGCACTTTCAAGTGGTAAAATCATACATTATCCATGTCATCTGGAGCCCTAAAAAATCAACCCAAGCAATAAAGTGGGCTTATAGCTATTCACTCCACTTACTCCACTGCAGTCCCTGTATAATAATTATGGAAGAGGAAACAACATTGAAACAATCAAGTAAGCTTGAATAGAAGGCATGGACTTCCAAGTCTCAGACTGGATCAAGTTAACAATTAAATAACTATTTAACTAAGAGTGATTCATTTGAGGTACCAATGTCAAGTTAGTGAACTTAAGGCATGGGATATCTGGGCTGTTGTTAAGTTTGAGTCACCTGTTACCTTGATCTTTACACCTGTAACAAATTTGTTATTTTGTGAGCGAATTGTGTCAACAAACGGTATGTTCACCCACACCATCAAGGGCCTTCATCAAGCATACTCAACCATACAGCCCTGGGTGGATATATTGGTCAATAAGTGTGACAATGCATGGGACTCATGATCACTCATATGAGTGGCACATTAACATTGTAAAAGTCAGCAGGTTTATAATACTACCATGACTAACAATCTTCTACCACTTTTGGTATGGCTTAGAACATATTTTCAAAAATGATAACAGCAGTGACAATGCATCAATTAAATAGGAAAAAAACTTCAAAATTGCTAGTCAGGATTGACTTTAAGGTTGCTGTTTGTTGCAAACAAAGTATGGATTAAAAAAAAATAATGAGCAATAATGAGAATTACGGTCATTTCGCTCCATGGTTGGTTGGCTCCAACTCAGTTCGCTCCAACTAAAAGTTAGATCACTCCACACAGGTAACCGAGTTTGGCTTGGCAGTGGATGAAAGAACGAGGAATAATTTATATGCGTGTTGAAGCAAACTGACTTGGAGCAGCTTTGAGCGATCTCACCATGCAGCGAAGTGACCAGATACCAATAATGATCATTAAACTTTAGCTTAAAAGAATTCAATAAGGTACAAAAATGGACTACCAAGTTGAGCTTCTCTTTGACATGCCATCTTCTCCCCTACTTTTAAAATGATAAGCCTGGTAATGAGAACTGGATCACAAGATAATGTAATTCAGCAGTTTTCATTGGCCTAGTGCTCTATTGGAGATCCACAAATCTGATTGGTTCTCTCATTTTTTGTTCGCTGATAGACAACAATTGCATGTGCTGCTCTTGAAGCTGAAAATTATACATAATTTTAGGCTGTTATCCTTTAGTGTCTACTAAACCAATTAGTCTATTGGTCGTGTCTTGCCTTTGTTTTCTATGAGTAATAGTCGACTTAGCTAGGCCTTGTTGACCTTGTATTCACTCAATAGAAAACTCGGGCAGCATGGTATAATTATACCATGCCATACAAATGTAGTGAGCATACGTGTATTTTTTTGTGTGTGTGTGCATTTTTATTCTTACTTTATTTTAACTTTCTACATTTTGTGGGCATTCTTAGCAAAACAATTGTTCCACTCATGCTTGCTGGATATGGATGAAATTATAAACAACTTGGCGCTATGCACCTCATTAGCTATCTATAATCTCATATCCAAGTGTGCTTGTGGAAAAATATTGGTAATTATTATATCTCTCAGTTAGTATGTGTGCTGTGATTGGTCAATTTAGCAGGCTGTAATCTACTGCACGGCCCGCTAAAATTTAAAGCTGTTTTTGTTACTAAATGTTTCGTGGTTTATCGACAAGTGTTCTTAGATTTTTTAGCAAGTAAGAGAACAAAATTGTGTATAATAACCTACTAATGATTTCAAATGGTCAGTTCAAATTGAATTGTTTTGCTTTTGAGGTGCGTCAGAAATTTGAAGCCGTTCCTCATGAATAGAAATCATTCCCGAGCCGTCAGACACACAGTAGAGATGTGATAAATATCTTACTAACCTCGTTTCCTCGGTCTGTACGGTAAGTTACGGATCCTCGTTTTTCCCCTTCGATGTATGGCCCACGCACTTCGCACTTGGGCCATAAATTGATGGGGAAAAACTCGGTCCGTAACTTACAGTATGGACCTCGAACTCGGCTTGTACATGTAAGAGGTATTTACCATATTTCACTCTTGAAGATAACTTTTGGTTAAAAGTGACAAAAAAGAGCCGTAAAAATGGAACCAAATGAATTTAAATTGCCTTTACCCTGTACTACGTACTGGGTAAGTTGCACTTCTTTCAATCATGTAGAAAAATCGTACACAAACTGAAGAAGGGAGCTCTCAACTACTGGAAGTGATGGGAAAATGCAAATAATTTTAGCAAGTTTTGAAATTAATTCACCATATTATGTTATTTGACATGGTCATTAATTGTTACGATTCTAATCTGGGTGGTAGGGAGACACAGGAAATATATTGGGGGTTTAAGTTTCAAAATGACATAGATCTGTCATGATGGTTGATCTGATTGATATGCGTGTTATAATTGGTTGGAAAAGGTTCGGGTCTTTTGGGGCTTCATGGATAACTGCTTACAAGTCTGTATTTTCCCTTGCGGTCAATGAATAAATTGATATCTTATCTTTAATTTGACCAGTCATTTATCAGATAGATGATGTCATCCCTTTCAATTCCTTCCATTATACCAACAAAACCCTTTACTGAAAGAGAATGGTTTTTGTTTAGAACAACATAGCTGGTGGAATTAAAATAATTATTATCTGGTTGTTGTGTAATGGCTGCCTGTTTAAGAATGGCAAGGTCAGGAAGTGAAATTCCAAGCTTGTATGCGAGCATTCTAACATCATTCCCATCAGCTCTCGGTATATCAAGGGTGAGACAAATTTTGTACAGAAGAGGATATGGTATCTCCAAAACCTTTGTGTCATACTTTTGTCTTTGTGACAGTGTTGACCAGATAGAAGGTCTTCCTTGCTCCAGTATACCATCAGCAATGGCACCATTCTGTACAATGAGAGATTGAGACAAAGGTTCAGGAGGAAGTGACCGGGTATGCAGTTGAACAGCATCAACTGTGAACAAAAAAATAAATTAAATGTAGTGTCAGCATGTTGACTTGCAATAAGATTTGGTATTTTCTGTCCCTCTATTAACTTGAAACTAAATTTCAGTGCTAACCCTAACCCTAACCCCAACCCACTCTAAAATGTTAGGCGAAATAATAATTATCATAATAATTATATATAAATTTGAATTTAAATTAAAATTATGTCTGACATTGGAGCTGAAATCACACCAGGCTCTCGTGCTAAACAACAGAATCACATATTATGTACCTTCCTTCCACCTCCTAAATATATCAACAAACTAATACCAAATTGAACTATCAGTTTCTTGCTTCTTGATATTGATACAAATACTACCATGCTGTTCTTGTGCAGTCACAAAAATGATTTTACAACAACAGTATTATCATATCTGTATTAATTTCTTTGATAAAAATGAATCATATACACATATTTTCTTCATTAAATTAATGCCTTAAGCATTTATATTTAAACTGCCCTGGTGGATCCAGCATGTATTTAACTACTGCAGTTTATTTAGGAGTGCAGTCATGTTCATGAAGTAAGCCAGGGTAGCTTATTGTTGAGGGCCATATCAGATCATGTCATATCACACAATTGTAACCTAAGGTCAAGGGGTTCTTTAAATTTACAATTCTACCATGGAGACAGGCATCATTGGGGGCCCAGTGCTTAATCAAGTATGGCAAGTATTACTATTTACCTGGAGCTGCAACAAGATCTGAGGGTCTGGTATTTCCTCCTGAAGAACTTTGTGCTGCTAAACACTGGGATCTCTGATTGCCATCTCCTATCTCAGATGCACAACCATTGTGACGTCTAAATTCAACAGTGTTTGTTGTACAATTGATGCTGCAAGTTTCTCTATCTTGACGAAGAACATCTGGCAGTGACTGTATTGGTGAGGAAGGATCAGGCTTGACATGATCCACTGGTTGTAGCAGTACTTGTTTTCTGCTTTTTCTTCTAATCCTGTACATGACAGCCACCAATGCAACTGCAAGAAATATCCCACCAAATATATAGATTCTTGAGTCTTTCTTCCATTCTGCTAATGCAAGGTCCTTTTCGCTCTTCTGCTTCTTTGTATCTGATCTGTCAGTTCCTTTAATACTGGATCTGGTAGAAGCACTGGAACTAGTAGTGGGATGAACAATGCTTGTGGCTGGTGCAACAATGAACTTACTAGAGATGGCCAAGGGCAGAGAATTTAAATACTGTGTTTGCGTACCAGCGTCAGGAAGAACCACAGGGTCTGATGGAATTAAGACACATTTTATGTCTGTACCAAAGGGAACAGTTGTTCCACAAGGGACTGATGAAGTGTAATCACCATCACATCGTAGACAAGGGAAACAACTGATGCACTCCCCTGTTATAGTGTCGACCGTTTTTATATATTGGCCAATGCACTCTGGGCATTGAGTTCTCACCCTTACAGGTATCTAAGAAAGTAAAAAGACAAAAATGCAAAACATTTTATAATGGACCCGAATATTTCAGTTGAATATTGGCAAATTTTGAAGCGTAACTAAAGACCTCGGTCACAGTTTTTCACCATACGGACCTCCCAGCCNTTCTGGCCACCTTTGGTGTTCCATTTTGATATTTGCAAATGGTGCCTCATATGCTTGATCCAGCAAGCATTTAAATATGTTAGCTCAAGTTTGTGGCCTCGTTAAATGTTTTGCGAGCTGAAGATCACTAACATTTTGAAATCAAGTGGGTGGGGACTGGAAAAGAGTGAGTTGCCATGGGAACAGAATTTTTTATAGCCGTAGGTGTGTTTCCTGTGGAACACTTAGCCTACCAAGTTTCAATGGTCTATGCTGCAAATTGACCAAGATAGCTCTATTTATATACTTGATATAAAATTGGGTTGAGTGCATGATGTCATCAGTCATCTCATTTGCATATTTTACACATTTTTCAAACTTAAATATCTCCAGAACTGATGCAGATATTTGCAAATGGTAAACAGCATTTTTGTTCTTTCATGGAATTCTGTTATACATGAAAAAAAAGATGGGGGAAAAAATTGATCATAGTACCACTTTAAAGCTTTCAATCTAATGATAACATTCTTTCTGTTGTCAAACCACAAAGCTGTCATATAAAGATTCAAACTTTACACTTAAATATAAAACTACTATGTATGCCAGCATACTTTAAATAAACCAATATTAGCTAATATTGCTGTGGCTTTTTCTTGGCTTAAACGAGGAGTTCTATACTAGGTTATTCTTAATCAATAGGTTGCAAAAAGAAAAAGAAACTTTATTTCTGTGTCAGTTGAGGATCTAGCTCCTAAGTGACAAGGAGCTAATTGGGGACACAGTATATTACAAATGGAAATTCAAAATATATACAATAAGAATTACTTAAAAATATTCTAATTAGAACTACAGTAAATACCTCTTACTAGCCGAGTTCGAGGTCCGTACTGTATGTTACGGACCGAGTTTTTTTCCCCTTCGATTTATGGCCCAAGCGCGAAGCATGCAGGTCATAAATCAAAGGGGAAAAAATGAGGATCCGTAACTTACAGTACGGACTGAGAAGACGAGGTTAGTAAGATATTTATTATATCTCTACTGTGTGCCTGACGGGTTGGGAAACGATTTCTATTCACGCAGACTCAGAAAGGCTCAAATTTCCAATGCACCTCAAAAGCAAAACGAGTCAGTTTGAAATTGTTTTTAAGTCGTTAGCGCACTTTATTACACAATTTAGAGTATAGGAAAGTTTCAAACTTTCACTTGCTATAAAAGTTAAGAATACTTGGCGATAAATACGAAACAGTTTGGCAACAAAACCAACTTTAAATTTTAGCAGGCCGTACAGCAGCCGCTAAATTGACCAGTTACAGCGCGTGTACTAACTGAGAGATATAATAATTTAAAATATAATAAGACATTAAAATACAATGTAAAAAGCATTGATAATACTCTGAAAAAAGACGTGAAAACTATTAAGAACATTTTTTTTATTTTGTGAAAAGTAAAATAAAAATTTTACAGCTTGGCATGCACATGTGTAGTCTAAAGCACCATACATATATATATATAGCACATGTGTAGTCTAAAGCGCTGGCCAAACAATTGCAACATTTCAACACACCATGTGGCAAAATTGTTGGGCGCAACATGTTGCACCTGTTTGGCTACTCTGTTGCAATGTGTTGCAACATATTGGGTGTTGCAAAATGTCAGGTGTTGTTGGCTCAAGTTTGAAACAGGTTGGCCAAACACACGCAACATGTTTGCGTCCAACAATGTTGCCATGTGTTCCGTTGAAAAGTCTTTTTTAAATTTATTTATCCTGTATATACTACATCACAATTAACGAATACTTACGTTACAAAACCTACAATTTACAACACAATACTAAAATCGACTGATACTTTGCTTAATTCTGAGTTTACAACTGTCACTTACAAAATGTTATTTTACATTACCTCCTTACAGTACTCTACTTACTACATGCGACATTACTTACTTACAAAACTTGCATAAAACTACTGAATTGCTTACAATATGCTATATTACTTACGTATATCACCTATAATACATTACATTACCTCACCTACAATACATTATGTTACATTACTTCCTTACAATACATTATATTTCTTACTTACACATTGAAATGTTGTGATTGTTTGGCCAGGACTTAAATCACTATACATATTCAAATTCTAGAACCTAATAATGCTGATGTAAATCAAATACAACCTTTTTCCTATTCTTGTCCATTCTTAGTGCCTGGACCTAGAAGATGTTCCAAGATTCATTTGGATTTCCAAAGATTTTCCAAATTTGCATGCCATAACAGGGACTGCAGAGACCATTTTGAAGTGGTAGGGCTAAAACTCTGGCCAACACAAACAAGGTCATTGTTCGGCCATTTAAGCACTTTCAAGTGGTAAAATCATACATTATCCATGTCATCTGGAGCCCTAAAAAATCAACCCAAGCAATAAAGTGGGCTTATAGCTATTCACTCCACTTACTCCACTGCAGTCCCTGTATAATAATTATGGAAGAGGAAACAACATTGAAACAATCAAGTAAGCTTGAATAGAAGGCATGGACTTCCAAGTCTCAGACTGGATCAAGTTAACAATTAAATAACTATTTAACTAAGAGTGATTCATTTGAGGTACCAATGTCAAGTTAGTGAACTTAAGGCATGGGATATCTGGGCTGTTGTTAAGTTTGAGTCACCTGTTACCTTGATCTTTACACCTGTAACAAATTTGTTATTTTGTGAGCGAATTGTGTCAACAAACGGTATGTTCACCCACACCATCAAGGGCCTTCATCAAGCATACTCAACCATACAGCCCTGGGTGGATATATTGGTCAATAAGTGTGACAATGCATGGGACTCATGATCACTCATATGAGTGGCACATTAACATTGTAAAAGTCAGCAGGTTTATAATACTACCATGACTAACAATCTTCTACCACTTTTGGTATGGCTTAGAACATATTTTCAAAAATGATAACAGCAGTGACAATGCATCAATTAAATAGGAAAAAAACTTCAAAATTGCTAGTCAGGATTGACTTTAAGGTTGCTGTTTGTTGCAAACAAAGTATGGATTAAAAAAAAATAATGAGCAATAATGAGAATTACGGTCATTTCGCTCCATGGTTGGTTGGCTCCAACTCAGTTCGCTCCAACTAAAAGTTAGATCACTCCACACAGGTAACCGAGTTTGGCTTGGCAGTGGATGAAAGAACGAGGAATAATTTATATGCGTGTTGAAGCAAACTGACTTGGAGCAGCTTTGAGCGATCTCACCATGCAGCGAAGTGACCAGATACCAATAATGATCATTAAACTTTAGCTTAAAAGAATTCAATAAGGTACAAAAATGGACTACCAAGTTGAGCTTCTCTTTGACATGCCATCTTCTCCCCTACTTTTAAAATGATAAGCCTGGTAATGAGAACTGGATCACAAGATAATGCAATTCAGCAGTTTTCATTAGCCTAGTGCTCTATGGTGGCTGAGAACTGCCAGTAAAAAAATCATATATTTTTGTGTAATAAATGTTAGTTTGACTGAGAAATAAAACAAAACTAAATAAAACATGAAGTGATATTAAATGAAATTTAAAAGTAAAATGACATGAAATTTAAAAGTACATTGAGTTTTAAAAATAAAACCACTTTACTCTTAAGTTAAACTAAAATGGAAATACAGTTCAAAGTGAAATATAAAATCAATTTCAAATGAAATTCAAAGTGC